GAGATAGAAAGAGAAATTCCATTTAAACTTACTATAGATGTTATTAAATATTTAGATGTCTACCTGCTGAAATAAACCTTGGAACTATATGAACACAATTACAAAACATTTTTCATGCAAATAAAGTCAGATCTAAATAAGTGGAAAAACATCAGTTGCTCATGGGTAGGCCAAGCTAATCTAATAAAAATAACAATTCTACCTAAGCTCATTCACTTATTCAGTGCCAAACCAATCAAACTACCAAAAATTACTTTATAGAGTTAGAAAAAATAATAATAAGATTCATTTGGAAGAACATAAGATGCAGAATACCAAGGGAACTAATGAAAAGAAATGTAGGGGAAGGTGGCCTAACCATTCCAGATCTTAAATTGTATTATAAAGCAGCAATCATCCAAACTGCTTGGTACTGGCTGAGAAATAGAGTCATGGATCAGTGGAATAGGTTAAGTATGCAAGACACAGTAGTCAATGACTACAGCAATCTACTATTTGATAAACCCAAAGACCCCAGCTTCTGGGATAAGAACTCACTCTCTGACAAAAAACTGCTGGAAAAACTGGAAAACAGTGTGGCAGAAACTAGGCATACATCAAAATCTCACACTTTATTTCAAAATAAAGTCAAAATGGGTCCATGATTTAGATTTAAAGGCTGACACTGGATGCAAACTAGGAAAGCAAGGAATAGTTTACGTATCAGATTTATGGAGAACCGAAGAATTCATGACCAAACAGGAGATAGAAAATGTTATGAAAAGCAAAATGGATAACTTTGATGACATTAAATTGAAATGTTTTTGCACAAGTAAAGCCAATACAATCAAGATTAGAAGGAAAGTAGAATATTGGGAAAGAATTTTTACAACCAGTCTCTCTGATAAGGGCCTCATCTCTAAAATATATAGAGAATGAAGTCAAATTTCTGAGAATATAAGTCATTCCCCAATTGATAAATGGTGAAATGATATGAAAAGGCAGTTCTCAGATGAAGAAATTAAAGCCATCTATAGGCATATGAAAAAATGCTCTAAATCACTATTGATTAGAGAAATGCAAATCAAAACAACTCTGAGGCACCACATCACACCTATCAGATTGGCCAACATGACAAAACAGGAAAATGATAAATGTTGGAGATGTGAGAAAATTCGAACACTAATGCATTGTTGGTGGAGTTGCAAGACGATCCAACCATTTTGGAGAGCAATTTGGAACTATGGCCAAAGGGATATAAAAATGTGCATATTCTTTGACCTAGCAATAGCACTTCAAGGGCTATATCCCAGAGAGACCATAGAAATGGGAAAAGGACCCCCACGTACAAAAATATTTATGGTAGCTCTTTTTGTGGTGGCTAAGAATTGGAAATTGAGGGAATGCCCATCAGTTGGGGAATGGCCGAACAAGTTGTGGTATATGAATGTAATGGAATGCTATTGTGCTATAAGAAATGATGAACAGGCAGGCTTCAGAAAAACCTGGAAAGATTTGTGTGGTCTGATACTGAGTGAAGTGAGCAGAACCAGGAGAACGTTGTACACAGTAACAGCAATGTTGTGCGATGACAAATATGGATAGACTTAACCCTTCTCAGTAATACAAGGATCTAAGACATTTCCAAAGTCCTCTTGATGGAAAATGCCATCCACATCCAAAGAAAGAAATATGGAGGTTGAATGCAGATCAAAGCATACTATTTGCTATTTTTTCTTCTGTTGTGTTTTGTTTCTTCTTTCTGATGTTTCCTCCTATTGTTTCTAATTCTTACTTACAATATCCCTAATGTGAAAATATGTTTAATAGGAATGTATATCTATAGCCTATATGAGATTGCTTGCCATCTTGGGGAGGGAGGTGGAGAGGGAGAGGGAGAAAAATTTAAAACTCAAAAGCTTGTGGAAGTGATGTTTGATAAATCAAAATAAATTAACTTTAAAAACTGCTCCTTTTATCTTCTGTGAGTCTCTAAATCCATTTTCATTCCTTCTTTACATTCCCTATTTACAGATCTGAAAGGCATTCTCTTCCCCATATCTCTAAGCTGTATGTGATGTGACCTTTTATATCTGGTATGTATAAATTTGAAGCTAATCTTTGCATACATTGTGAAGTTTTAGTCTTAGCTTTTCTTCTTTAGAGAATATTTCCTAATTTTTCCAGCACCTTATTTTTTTTTTTAGTAAATAGTGACTTCCTGACCCAGTAGTTAGTTTTTTTTTGTATATGAAACATTAGGCTATTAGAGTAGTTTGCGACTAATTGCAGTATACTTCATCTATTTTACTGGCTTACCTCTCTATTTCTAAATCAGTAACAAATCATTTTGGGATCTGGTACTACTAGGCTCCCTTCTCCCATTTTGTTATGATTTTCCTTGAGATTTTTGACATTTTGTTTTCCAGATGAATTTTAATATCATTTTTGCTAGCACTATCAAGTTATCCTTGGATTTATATGGCATTACACAAGTAAAAGAATTGAAGTAGTATTGCCATTCTTATTATATAAGTTCAACCTACCTATGAGCTAATGAGATTGCTTTAATTATTTAGGTCAGTCTTCATTTCCATAAAAGGAGCTTTGTAGTTTGTTTTCAAACAGTTCCCTTGTTCATGTTGGTTGATTCCCAAATATTTTATATTTTTTTGTAGTTTGTTAATGGAATTTCTATTTCTATCACTTCCTGTTCACTTTTGTTGGTAACATATAGAAATATTGATGACTTTTTCTAAAGTTATTAACTGAACAACCAGTTTTGATTTAAGTAGTAATTAATGTTTCCTCTACTAAAGTCATCCTATTGTGCCTAGTCCCAGTAAGGAGGTGATCCTGGGTTGTCAGATGATCTGAAAGCTCTTACCAATGTGGAAAGGCTTCCAAGAGAAGCTAGAATATGCCCTTAGTATTTTGTGTGTGTCAGAAGGTACCCTGTAAAATGAGCTTTCTCACTATAAGTTCAAATAAGTGAGTTTGTGCTAATCAATTACTATTCCACTTAGGTCAATTCAATGAATACTTACAAAACACTTAATCAATGTAGAGCAAAATATTAGGTGTTCAGAGAGATACAAAGTTTCTAAATGATACAATTCCTGCCCATATGGAATTCATATTCTAGAAGGGGAACAAGATAAATCACATAGATGACTCTTCAATAAATAATACATGGTTGGTGCATCAGAAGAATGAATATAAAATCCTATGGGAGATCCTGAAGCATAAGATCACTGTTGATTTCAGGGAACAAGGTAGGCTTCATGAAGCTGGTGGGATTCAAGTTTGAGTTTAATGAGTGGGTAGAAACTCAACGGGTAAAAAGGGGACCTGAAGAACACTCAAGGAATAGGCGACAGGAAACCAAAGCCACAATGTCAAAGATGCACAGGGTTTAGTGTGGGACAGAGAATGGTCCAGGGTGGCTCAGTCATAAATTACACGAAATGGAGTAGTATGTGGATCAAGCTGATGGTTTAAGATGTTTCCAGATTTGGAAGGTCTAGAATGCCAGACAAACAGGCTACTGTTTTCTACCTCTTGGGAAAGCCTAGCTTGTTTATCTCTGTAGCCCTGAACTAAGGTATTTCCAGCCTCCAGGTAGCATTGATAAAAGTGGTAAGCATGGTGAGTGAAGATCAGGATAGTCTCTGGCGCCTATAAAATTGAAGATGGAAACTAAGGTCATCATTTCATGAATTTATCACCACTCACTCTCCTTGCCAAGAGTAAGGAAACTTGGGCTGACCATGGTGCTGAATTTCACAGTATCAGCAAAAGAAATTTAAAATATTCAAGATTAATGTTTCTTGCTAGATTTGTTCATGTCTGTTTTGTGAAGATGAGGTTGTCTGTTCTTCAGCCAAAAATGCTTAAGTGGAAAGGTCTTTGGTTTTGGAGTCAGAAGAGGCAGGTCAGCGTGCATGACCTGTGACATGCATAGTGACCTCAGGTAAATCATGTCACATCTTTGTACCTTAGTTGCTTCCTTCTGCAGTAATAATGATAGCAACAATAGCTAGCATTTCTGTAAGTCCCCAAGGTGCTTTACATATATTAGCTCATTTGAGGCTCACAACAACTTTGTTATGTAGGTGCTTTTATTATCGCCATTTTACAGACAAAGAAACTGAGGATGAGAGAAGTGACTTTCCAAGAGTCATACAAATATCAAGTGTCTGAGGGACATTTCAGATTTATTCTTCCTCACTCCAGGTCTAGCCATTTACTTATTAAATTCCTTTCTTTCCCTAAATTCTATGATTTTGTGATCTCTCAATCAAAGCAGCAGTCAGAGGAATAGCCCCCCGGACACTTAGGAAAAGTGAGCTGCCCTGAACAAATCCCAAGAGCTGTATAAGACTTCTCAGATCTAAGTAAAAATTGGCAAATATCTCAAAACTACTTCATCTAGTGCTGTGCTACCCACTGAGGGGACCAGAAATCAGAATATTATTTCTTTGCTCAGTAGAAGCTGATATTTGAGTTAAGGGAAATCTACTTGCCTTGGAAAAGCCAACATTAAAAAAAGAAGACAAAGAGACACTAAGACATCCAATAAATTCTATTCAATTCACATTAAGGTAATAAAATCCATTAGACATTTATTCAGCACTCACTATGAACCAAGTACTGTGCTAAGCTACCATGATATAGACAACAATGATGCAGTCCTTATTCTCAAAAATCTTACATTCTACTAGAGAAGGGTTTAGCTCGAGTATGTATCCAAGATGGTAAGTGGAATAGAACATGGATAAGAGAAAAGAAAGCTTGTTTTTGGCTGGTTGAGGATCTTTAGTTCTGTCTTCAGTGAATGAAAGCTTTGATCCTCCTTGTCCATCCTTTGTAGA